TCGGGATTTGGTGAAAAAAATCGGGATCAACAGCAAATCAGCAAGGTGACTGCCAAAGCTGACTTCAAATTTTTCCAGTGGTGTCCATAAATTTCTTGGCCTAACTATAAATGCCCTCCGTGTGTCTTTGTTTGTTTGCGTGCGTATGTGTGTGTGTGTGTGTGTGTGTGGGTGTGTGTGCGCGTGGGTGTGTGTGCGCGCGCATGTGTGTGCGTGCGTGCGAGTTATTACTTTTTGTAAATCCTGAAGCATCCTTGTCCAAGTGTCTATACCCCCCCCTCCCCCCGCCCCTACCAATAAGTCCCGAAATACTCATGTCACGTGACGCGAATGCGCGATTGAAACAATTTTACTAACGGGTCCGACTAACTGCACATTCACACAAAACACTCGGATGAGCGACAGTCGTTCTACTTCTAGGATAACAACGGCGGCCGACAACCAAATATACCTACAAATACCAACAATCTCTTATCCCTCATAATGCGTTCAGACTAAAGCAACGACAACGGCCGTATGTTAGTCTTGTCAGCACAGTTACAGTTAGTTGTGTAAGGGTTAGAAAGACTGTTGCTCGTCCGAGTGTTTGATGTGAACGCGCAGTTACCAGACCTCGGACAAAGGCTTGTTTTGAAAGTAACAGCGGAGCTACGAATATTATCGATTATTAAATGTCCCAAATTGTAACAGTTACCAGGCTATCATCGGAGAATTCTGAGTGCACGCAAGGATCACACACAACTTGGGGTGAGTCAACTACTAAATGCGGCATCGATATTTCGGGAAATAGTGCTCCCAGTTCCTGCTGACAAAAAGTTCGACAGGTGCTTCCCACGATAAAGGAGAAGGCAGAGTAAGTTTTTCGAAAAATCCAGCACAACAGAGAGTGGGACAAAAAAATCAGGATACACGCGATCGAAATCGGGAAAATCGGGAGGATTGAGATTTGGGGCAAAAAATCGGGATATCCCGACTAAATCGGGATGAGTGGCAGGTCTGCTTATTTTTTATTAGGTAGTATCATTTCATACAAAATCAAGCTCATTTGACAGATTTTGTGTGTACAGTGGAGTCCACTTATAGCGAGTCCGGAAAAAAACGAGAAGTCTGTTATAAAGACACTATTCTAAAACCCCATTTTTTTTCTCTTCTTTACCTCTGTAAATAAAATACTGCTATAGCGCCTTCAAACAAACATGCGAGTCGGTTAAAGCAGAATATTGCTGTTGTTGTGCACAGTGCATGGGCCAATTATACATAATGTAAAACCTCGCTAGTTGAGAAACTAGTTGGTGATCTAGCGAAACAAAGAATGGGAGAGTCCACGTGTGTGAACAATGAAGGCCGGAGCGACTGAGGAGGGAGGGTGTGGCATGCGCAGGCAAGCAGAACGCATCGCGTGATAGGCCAGCGTAAGCCTAGTTTAGATTATGAAGGCCTACCAATACCATGCCTCTCACTTCTCCTATGCAGGGATGGAGGGGTCACAGCAATGTGATGGATGGAGCGAATGTGTGACGTGCGCAAGCAGACAGAATGCACCACCGGGTGGGGTGGGGGAAAATACAGCTGGCGACTTAGCCTAGAGCCCTTTCTTTCTGATCGCCAATGCTGAGCTGTCAGTCCACATCGCTAGATCTAGCGCTAGAGAAAGAAACCTGATTTGATTTTTGATCAAGTAAGACCTAGAGGTCATGTTGAAACAAAGTCATCATCAGGGGAGATAGAAAAAGAAAATAAACAGAACACCAAACTCATGGATTAGGCCTACTTTACAGTTTCCCTTGAATTTATTACTGGATCCCTTATAGCGAGAATCCTGCTTTAACGGACATTTTGCTCCGGTCCCCTCTCTCTCGTTATAACAAGATTCCACTGTAAAAGCATGCATACTTTGTTATAGAAAATAAGATCGTCTCTGTGTATATCCATTGTTGGACAGTGTCCTAAGGTGTGGTAGATTAAGATGCGTTTAGATAATATAGTTTACAAGTCATGGGAATATTTCGCATGTGTAGGCTACAACTCATACTATAAATGTAACATATTTACACCCCCCCCTTCTCTCTCTCTCTCTCTCTCTCTCTCTCTCTCTCTCTCTCTCTCTCTCTCTCTCTCTCTCTCTCTCTCTCTCTCTCTCTCTCTCTCTCTCTCTCTCTCTCTCTCTCTCTCTCTCTCTCTCTCTCACGCACATACACATGCATGCGCACGCACTCACGCACGCACTATCTTCCCAGACTGGACTAAATAAGTACCGTACTCTTTAATAACAATCTTAATGCCTCACTTTTCCAAACAGAGCACACAGGACGAGTCCAAGTGTGTGCTTACCCCAGAACTGCTTCTAGGATGGGTACAATGTTGTCAAACTGCATACTATGAGATTGACCTCTTTTCTGATTGGCTGCCAAGTTTCATTCATATCCATTCCTGAGAAGCGGCGTGAGAGCGAGTTGAAGACAACAACCTTTGCGTTAGTTTGTCCCACGAAACACCCCCGTGGCGGGGGCCAAAAATCGGTGGGCATTGCTAAATTTGAACGTTCTGGGTCGTAAATCTACGACTACCCCCCTATCCAAAGCGGCTTCACATGGAGACCGGCCATTTTCCCCTCACTCTCGCGGCAAATGTTTGTGACCTACAAATCCCCGCATGACTGTTCCGGGCCCGTTCATTGGTCACTTGAAATAGGGCAATGGCGGGCGTGCACATCCGGTTGTTTTTCTCTCTGTTCCCCTGTAACATCGCAATGGGGGTATTCCGAGGCGAGGTTATCTCGTCTCGGGGTGTTCGCATCTCAACGGGGAAAATGAATTTTTAATTGTACGGCATGCTAGATTGAATTAACTTATCTTTTACAGTTGGCATGGTCTAAAGTCATCATAAAAAGCTTTGCAATTATTTAGTCACGCTGCCGACATATATTCTTAAAGATCCCAAGTTGTGAAACGATGCTATAAATAAAATGGACTCATCCCGACACCCCTTTTCTGCAAAATCGTAATAAGAAACACCAAAATTTTAATTATAACAAAATAACTACGAAATGGGTAGTAAATCTGACTGCAGAAATGATTTCTACACCCAAAAACACATCGGGTAGCCAAGTTTCTCTCTAACACTCCGATTAGTTACCGAGATATCATCGATTTTCTTACAGAATCTGCTACTGCGTGGTCCACTTTTTAGGAGTATTTTCCTATAATGTGGGTCATCCATATTTTGCCGACCTTTACAACCCCATAACTTTTTTATTTACAAACCGATTCTTAAAATTCAAGAAGCATAATTCTTAGAATTGAAAATTCTTTCTTAGGTACCAAATAAAAAAGGACTAAAGTGGAAAATTAAATTTTCATTGGCATTGCTAGTGAATGGGGATCCGACTCGGGACCCGAATTTCACATAAGATGATGCGCGGTGAGCGTGCGTTGAGCCAGGGGCTACATTGATTCGGGACCAGAATGAAGGCGAGGAGCCGAAATAGGCTTATCGGGTGACATAAACCCAGCCCCTGCATGACGAGGGTTTAAACTTAGTCTTTAGTTTTAGTAAGGATTTACGACGCTCGCAACAGCATGAAACTTGGTCTTAAAGAGATGATGGGTTAATGGAGACATCAGTACTGATCAGCCTTCGTAGTCTGCAAACTGTGCATTCTGCAGGCAACGTTAATAATCAACAGTAAGTTAGTTGGTAAGTACAGGGGAAGCCAGGACGGTACTACTTAAGAATCTGGGTCCCCCTTGGGGATAATTAGTTTTGACACCACGGACGATTACTTCTGGTTCTAAATGATTACTTTTTGATGAGCGTGCCGATATGGAGAGATAGCCTATCAAATCTAGGCTAATTGCATAACATCAAATTATGTTCAAATTCAGGGGGGCATGCCCCCCCGTCTCCATGTTTTTATTTGCCCCCCTTCCCCTGTTAATAACTAGTGAATTTTTAATGCTCATTTTGTAGGCTGGATCTAGATCTACTGATAGAACATCGATACCGAATATTTTTGTCAGTATCGATATCCAGTACTCTGTGTGGATGATGCCTAGTCAAGGAGATTAAAAGTAATGGAGGATGCTCTGTGGGCGGCACCGCACGCCTGATAGGAGCCCTCTCTCGCGGCGGAACTGTGGTCTACCTGCGCTGAGCGAATGCCCGACTTACGCACTGAAATCTAGATAAGAAAGAAGGTTTTATTCCGAAGTCCTTGAGATTAGGCAAGTCAATTAGTAAAAATGCCTTTCATCTGTGTTGTATTTAAGTGTAAGAACCGATATGATGCTGCAGTGGACCAAAGTTTTCACAGTTAAGTTGCTTTCCTTTTAAAACATTTGAATGAAAGTGTTTTTATGCCCCCAGCAACCCAATTTAGATCATTAACATTCATAACAGGCTGGCGGTCCAGCGCTACCTGCCAAGGCCAACCCAGGCTGAAAGGGATACAATACCCCAGCAGAAAGACCGAGATACTCAATTTTTAAAAGTATTCTTATTCTTATACATTATATATAATTATTAAGTGTATATATATAATTATTATGTGTGTGTATGTATATACATATTATACATTTATATTGCTTTCCATTGTGTGTGCAAATTAGATGCTACTGTTGTCTAAATGTAGATATATCTAGAGGCTCCATTAGGATAGGAAATCAATACTCAACAACAATAATGATGAATATTTTCTATGTTAAAGAAACACCAAACCACATCAGATGAGGGGAGAGGGTAGGGTGGGGTGGATAAGAGTTTGAGTCTTGTTAGATAGAACTATACTCGGTTTTCTATTGTTGTAGTCTTCACCTAAGATCCCACAATCAATAATTCCGGTTCAGTTAAGATTCTGCTGTTAAAAAATAAACCAAACAAAGCAACAACAAATTTTAATACACAAGAGTCATCACTAAGATAAATTACCCCCCCCCCCCCCCCCCCCCCCGGAGTGTAATATGGGACTAAAAACGCTGCTCTCCATATCATACTTTACTGAACAAAAAAACCAAAAAACCTTCAAAGGTCATCCACGCTCATGCATGCGATCACACCTCCAAAGGTGCTGTTATCTCTTTTTTTTAAATATTTGAAATCATTGTGCGCTCCACTTTGTGAAAACCAGAAAACAAAATTATTGTAATCAATAATATTATTATTTATAGACCAAGACATACTGTTAGCAATCAGATAAAGCTGGCATCGACCCTCTGTTGTGTTCGCTATTCCTTACACATAAAGTTAGTTATGAGAATCATGCAATCATAATATCTTAAATTCAGTTTTAAAGTATATTTTTATCCATTTCTAATACTTTTAAAATATTTTAGCATATTGAAAGATTATCTTTATAATTTGGTATGTTTGATAATTTTATGTTACTTGGACAAGTTTACTTCTTATTTTACACATCTTTTTGATTTTTAAACTAGATTATAACATAAAACTCTGAAAGAATTGAACAGTCTGTATCACACACAGAATCTTTTTTTCTCCCTGTCACTATCCGTCAGCCCGTCAGTTGATCACAATCTCTCTCTCTCTTCTCTCTCTCTGTCTGTCTGTCTGTCTCTCTCTCTCTCACTCTCTCTTTTTCTTTCTCTCTCTCTTTTATTTAATTTTTCCCATTCTCCTTCGTCCCTTCCCAAGGCCCGCCCCTCCTCTTTCATCCCTGCCCCATCCCCTCTTCCTTGCGTGCATTCCCCCACCCCGCCCACCCCCACAACGTGGCCCAGCCCGGTAAGATTCTATAAAAAGAAACGTCACAGTGCGAGATTTAGCCCACACTCGGCTGCCATATATTTGATCCCCACCGCGGCGTACTGCTCGTGGCGCCGCGAAGAGAGAGAGGAGGCTCCATTAGTTTTAAACTCCTTGTGCCTAGTCTAAACAGACGGGACCCAGATTCTTAACCCTCATCCTGCGGGAGCCGGGTTTATGTAGCCTGATAAGCCTATTTCGGCACCTCGCCTGCGTTCTGGTCCCGAGTCAGTGTAGCTCCTGGCTCAGCGCACGCGCAGCGCGCATCCTCTTACATGTCATTCGGGTCCCGAGTCGGATCCCCATTCACGCAGGTCAAGTGTGTGTGCGTCAGTCTGCTTGAGTTTGTGTGCGTTTGTGGCCTTCTTCTAGAACCACCTGCGTTGGTTCGTAATCGAGGCATACGTCTCATTCAAAACATGCCAAGTTGATAGCTCTAGATGTTCGTCCAATGAAATTATAGAAGAAATTGACCCACTTAGACAAGAGGAGCTCGAAAGGATAGTCAGGAAACAAGATTTTCATTTTTCTATACAAAATATTTCAAATGAGCTTGATTTTGTATGAAATGATACTACCTGATAAAAAATGAGCTTGTTTAATAGTTTTGAATACCCTTGTGCAGGTACAAAGAACAATTTGAGTGTAAAACATTTGGAAATTGACCTAAATTATCCCTTTTCGAATCTCAGGTCATTCATAACAACAAGAGCCTCCAGAAAGGTTATTCAAATGGGCATAACTACTCGTAATGTCTTATCAGCTTGTGAGAGGGGGTTATTCATGTGTTTGTAACACTTTATAAATAGAATGCTATGAAGGATAGAGCGTTATTTTCATCATCAGTTAACACACTCCCGCGGTATTCATGGCGAAAACACACGTTTCCCGGTGCGCGCGCTGTACACCAACAGTACACACTGAGTGACCCCGGCGGCCTGCCCAGCGAGTCCGACGTAATCGGTTGCTGATAAGATACGCATCTGGGCACAGACGCAGGATAAGAGTTAAAAGTTGTACCGCCAGACAAGCAGCCTGTTGGTTGTCACTGTTGAGTGATGGGACCTTCTAGGCCTGACGGTAAGATGATTCATCCATAAATGGGCTGCATACGTACCATATGTTCCATCTCTGACGATCAGTCTCATATATTCTATAAAATTGTAAGATGGCATCTTTTTAAATTTCTGTTTACTATTTTGGCCATCTATAACAGACGTCGAGGGTGCAACGGGGTTCGCCATTTTGTTTTGTTTAGAAACAACGGGAGGTCTTCTTATTATATTATCTATCTGTATCTCATTCAATGTAGATCTAGAAATATAACTATTTTTCTGCTTTAATTGAATTCTAAAGCAATGCAAATTTATTTCGTTGGACTAATTTTTTCAATAAATAAATTTGAATCCATTAACAGCTGAAATAAAGTTATTTAAAAAATAATAAAACTGTGTACATTATACATTATGGCCTCCCGGAAAATACATGTAATGAAAATTGCAACGTTCAGCAAATAAACGAATGATGAACAGGCCGCTAAATACGAATTCTCCTTCCTCGATTCCTCGTCTCCAACCAATTCAATCTTTCCTTGAAACTTCCTTCATGATGTTGATTGTTGAATTTTAGAGTCCAGATCTTGATCAAGGAATCTAGGCTTGTTCCAGTCGTGGTAGAGTCAGGGCCGACTCAGGCCAACTTTTTTTGGTCAATACTTGTAAACTTTACTTAACTCTTTCCTTCCTCTGGTATCCTTGCCTTAGTACTTAGTAGGATGTCGAGGGGAGGTGCAGGTTTCGGTCCTGTGCTGGGTGTAGAATCTACTGTACTGTGTAGTGTAGCGATAGATCTAGATCTAGATCTAGATCTAGATCTAGATCTAGATCTAGATCTAATCTAGATTCTAGATCAGATAGATCTACGTAGATTATGTTGTTCAGGACCTTTTTAACCCCCTTTGGAAGAGGCTAGCCATACTTTAATGACGGCTAGACTGGCAGTCTAGCCGTACTTAAGTACGGCTAGACTGGCAGTCTAGCCGTACTTATTCTTAATATGATGGCTAGACTGACCATTTACAAAAAATAGGCCTACTGAATTGTAAGTATACATTTTTAGTGTGCAGTACCTAAAGACACTAAAGTATTTGTATTTGAGACAAGACCAGGTGCCTTAATGACAGTTTTTAAAACCTCCTGTTTTCTAATGTTAATAGGGCCTTTCTAAGATAAGTACGGCTAGACTGGCAATCTAGCCGTACTTAAGTACGGGTAGACAGCCAGGCTAGCCATACTTAAGGACGGCTAGACTGTCAGGCTAGCCGTACAAGACTTAATATTGATGGCTGAATTGTGAAATTTTTGGCCACCTCTATTCTCACCCGGGGTGAGAATAGTGCAGGCGGGTCTTGTGGCTATTCTCACCCGGTGCGCGTGTCAACAAATTTTGCGTTTACCCTAAACCACAGAATTCTACACTGTGATAAGAGAAAAATTGTAGAATTCTGTGCTGTGAACAAACGTTCCATTACAACTGTACTTGTAGCCTACTAAAAGCGTACAATTTTGTCTGTGGGCAGTGGAGAGAGAGAGAGTGAGAGAGAGAAAGAGAGAGAACAAAACAAAATGGCGACCCGCGTAGTTCGGCTCGATTCGAAAAGTTAAATAGCCGTAGCATCTTTGTAGACAACCAAATTAATTTACTTTTGTGTTTTAACATCATTTTTAAACTTTGTTTTGGTCAATTTGATCGTCCACACCGATAGACAGTATTCAGAAAGAGACAGAGAGAGAGAGAAGAGGGGAGGAGTAGATCTTGCGAGAACTTCTGGGCGGGTGAGAATAGCCACTTTCGAAATTTTTAGTTTGCAATGCCTACAAAAGTATTTGTATTTCAGACAAAACCAAAAGGTGCCTTACTGACTTGCATGTTATTTCAACTTGAATAATTTACTAGATCTAGATCTAGATCTAATGAGACCTGTGTACTTAACAGGCTTGAATCGATAAGGCCAAACCTAGATCTAAGTACGGCTAGACTGGCAGTCTAGCCATACTTAAGTTAAACGGCTAGACTCTCAGTCTAGCCGTACTTTAAGTACGGCTAGCCACTTCGCAGGTCTTTCTTGGTCTTCCTCTTGATTTAAAGCTGGACTCTACTAAGTTAGATCTAGGGTGCTGTAAGATATTGTTGTAGTTTCGTTTGTTGAAGTCATGAGTAGGGGGGTTTCTGTCAGGGGGGCATGCCCCCCTGAATTTTATCCTAATTTGATGTTTTGCAGTAAGGTTGCATCCCTACTCTTGGTGTAGCCTATGAGTATTTGGTCAACAAGATTTCTGGATTTCTTCTCTGGATGTAAACAAATGGATCGTGGACTTTAACTTTACGAAGCCTTTTTAACACTTTAACGAACGGAACTACAAGATCACCTTCAGTGGCGGTGGGTAGTGAAGGGCTCACGGGCTTGAGCCCCTACCCCCTCCCCACCCACCACCCCCAACTCTATCCCAAAGGAAATGAAAGTTTCTCCATAATGAAATTAGCAGTTGAAACCGTTATGACTGCACGCAATGAACACAGAGTGATCAACTTGGCAGCTTGCTCGCTTATCCAATCACTGTTGACAGTTGTCACCGCTTACAACTATAGTAACCCAGCAGCCAATCAAATGTCTCTAGGGCTCAGCGAAGATGAGCCCTTTTCCCACAGTCCGTCCTTAATGAAACTCTTCTTGTAAAAAGGTAGAAGACTGGGGAAAAAATAACACTGTACACAGGGCTCACGCTCTCCTAGCCCTGACAATCGGGTGAAAGTTTACGACACACTTTCCCCCACTGACACAAATACCTATGAGCTCATTGGTTCTTTGTTGGGTGCGTTCGACTTTCTTGACTACACGACCTAATCCAGCTCATAGAAGTATTATGTTTGAAGTGCTGTGTGTGCATGTTTGTGTTTGTGCCGCTGAGATTTAACAGTTATAATTCAGGTCGAACTACTTTTACCCCTTTACGGCAACTCTTTCATCACACGAAAACTAATTAGAGGAAATTTGGAGGTGAATCGGCTTCATCCCCACCATCAACAAGAATTTAACGAAGAACAAAGAGATGGAAAACAAAGGAAACTCTTCTCGTTTGAATGGTTCTCAAACTGCCGTGGCTCACCGTGAGTATAGAAAAATCATCACTATTTAGTTCTTATATCTTATTGCTTGCTATTTGGTGGTAAAGAACTGGAAGCAGCCTAAGCCCCACCCAAATTTTGGTCCACCCACCGCCACTGATCACCTTGTAAGCTTTAGACGTTAGTCGTTTCTGGGGCATTCTGGTTAGATGTTCAAACCATTTGACTCTTTGACGCTCTATGAATTTTATTACTGGCTACTGGTGGTATTCCAGTTTGTAGATATGTACGTAGTCTAAACAGCCGTAAGCACTGCTCACCGTCGAACGCTCCGTATCCCGGACTCTAGCATGGAGATCATCAGGAGAGAATGCGTCGCTGTTTCGGGCTCTTCCTCTCTACAGCTTTTCTGACGCACCGAGCCCCCTCACCGATGTGAGGTCTCCATGTTAGTTCGACTGTTTTCCTCTGCTGCCAACTTTAGGATTCATTCCAGCTTGAGTCCTCTCGCTTCAACCAGATCCAATGACTGGCTTTCTCTGCTGTCTCCTGAAGGGAGTTTGTGAGTTCGTTGCTTTTCTTTGCAGTAAGTCCTGCCACTCTCATCCACTTACGGGCGCTTGTTGCTACAAAACCTCTGCATCCTACCTCTACCGGAAAATGGGAAAAATAGTTTTCTTTCTTAATGCCAGTCTCTTCTGGTGACGTTGATGGTTTTGCGGAGACACGTCATGCCTCATTTCGCGTGCATTGCTTAAAATTTCTTTCTTCTTGTGCCTTTTTTAGAGACCATGTTTGGCACTGGTACTGGTATGTTAATGTTTGTATGAAGATGCTGTTGATGAGCTGGGATTTCACTTCGGTTTAGATGTTCTTGTGACTGAGCTGGGGTGCTATCTGGTAGGTCGATCACTGCATTTGCCTTCATAGTTCTTTTTTCTATTTCTTTGTCCTTACACCCATCATGTGTGAAGATGCTTCCCAAATATTCTTCTACTTGTTGGAGCTGTGCTGAGTCGTTCTGTTTCATACTAATAATACAGAGAGGGCCAGTTTAGATAGATCAAGTAACTGTAAAGCTCACGTCTCGACTGTTATCATTATTTTCGAAAAATGTTCGTAACTCTAGAAATATTTTGGAACAAGAGTCGGAACGGACATCATGCTGGACTCAATTCAGAGTCCAAATATAATTTTTGTCTATTCAGACTCGAGTCCGAATGGAGTCACTTTTATAAATTTCTCCCTTCTATAGATCTATAATTCTTTCTCTGCCATCTGAGAATTTTACTCATAAATTTGTACAGTCCATTCCATTTTACAACAGCCTCTGTTATTACAGGAACTTTGATGTATTACAGTGATGAACTGTCGGTCCTGTCTGTCCTGAGTATGACTGTATTTAGACCATTGCCATTGCATTTTTCAAGTTCACCAACTTTCTTTTTGTAGTCTACTCCTGCAATCAGTGGACTCGGTGATTTATTGTGTGCCATTATTTAATGTGGTATTTCATATTGTCATGCAAGCAATGTTGATGAACTGTAAATAAGGCAAAGGTCTAATTGACATCTTCACATCATTCGGAACTTACTTGATAACCTACTACGACTACGCACATTCGTAGTCTTTGTTGTGGGGCCAATGGTCAATATTAGGGGGGAGTAGCCACAACATGATAACATCATGTGTCAAAAATGATTTTAAGAAGAGAGACCTCAAATATAGTTTTCTATCTTTACTACAGATGTGTGTGTGTGTGTGTGCTTTGATTGTTTTTCAAAGTTTTTGCCATTGGAAACGAAAGTTCCCTCTGGAATAATTGGAAACCAAACTTCCCTACTGGAATAAAAGTTTCATTTAATTTATATTATATATATAGAAATTGATTTTATATTTTATAATTTAAAAAAAAATAATAAAATGATCCTTGTGAAAAGGCTAAAAAAATCAAGGCAATTGAAGCTTCTTTTTATATATATTTGACTTTTGATGTTGATTATCTTTTTGAGACCCTGAATCAATTTTGAGTGTAACTGCCTTCCTTGCAGGGTGATGCATTCGTGATGATGAGGGGGAAATTCCAGCCTTGGGACTGACTGTTCAGAGATGGCCATGCAACGACGTGTGTTGTTGTCTGCGACTGTCATAGATGTTCTGGAGGGATCAGTGACTTATGCTGCATGTCCAGAATGTTACTCCAAGCTTACACAAGGGTTAGTGGAAAGCAAATAAATTTTATGTCATCTATAGCAGCTTCAATCCAGCTGATACAGTTGTCGTATCTCACTAGTAGTAAGTAGTAGTTCTGTTCTCAACTGAATGAGGGTTCTATAATTAATACTATATATCTTTTTATCTTTTTCTTTCAGGGACAGATGTTAAATGAATTTAAATCTACAAAGTTTTTATTATGGCTACATTAACATATACTGTAACCTTTAGTGCGAGGGGAACGGCATCCCGAAAGTCCCGATTGGGCTCAAAACTATGCATTTTAAGTTATAGGCATTTTTAGCTTCTTCAGCCTCTCTTACAACTATTTCACCACAAAAGAACCTCCTAAATCCTTTTTTCTTCCCATACCGGGCATGTTTGTCATCACTATTTCCTCATAAAGTCAATCTTTTATTTTTCTTTATTGCCTGTTTTCTCGAATCTTGTTTTTTCTGTACTTTTTAAAAAATAACTCCACCATTTTTCATCCAATCTTCATGACATTTTCACAGAATGAAGAAAAGATGTAATACTAAAAAAATTTTGTGATGAATTTTTAATATAATATGGATAATATAATATGGAATAGTTTTTTGTTGATGGTGTTTGGAGTGTAGATTTTCACGGATTAAAAAAAAATGTGAGTACTAGCCTACTTCAGGAAAAAATGCATTAAAAATTTTGTAGTATGATTAGGAAAGATTCATGAAACAGATTTGTAGATCTATTGTTTGCCAAGATGCATGCAAAGAAACAATGTATTTCTTTAAGAAATAAGTGCTATATTAATTACGTAAGACATGTCAACAAAATCCAATATGGCCGTTGTGTCCATGGAAACAAAATGTTTTTCTCAAATTTGATTGCGGATTTCAAAACTCCTTACTTACTTACTTACTTACTACCCATTAAGCCACCTGGCGTTTAGGGCAGCAACAAAGGATCTCCCGCTCTGTCTGTTTTGGGCCATCTTGGTCAGCGTTCCCCACAAATGATTCCAGGACTTCATTTCAGACTCTACTGTGCGTCTCGAGGTCACTTTGGGTCTGCCCCTTTTGTGACGTCCTTCGGATGTCCAGTGGAGGGCAGTCTTCACAATAGAGTCTGGTTTTCTTCTCAGAACCTGTCCAATCCATCTCCATCTTCTCCTTTTTATTATGGTGGTTGTTGTATGTATGAAATTTGATAACGTTTGATCCGCTAATAACTGAGATAGCCTTCAGCTGCCATGTCCCCCCCCCCCCCCCCCCCCCCACTCTTAATAACTACCCGCCCCGCCCACAAAACAAAACCACTACAGTGGGTGTTGCATTCAACGAGGTTGCCGGGACTGGCTTGTTGTCCTTGTTGGATCCGACCTCTCGTTGAACGTGACTAAGGCTAGGAAAAAAGAAAGGAGACAAGTTATTATATTGCATGATGTGCCAATACCAGTAATTAAAACAGTTGTTCCCCCTGATGACGATAATCTCAAACAGCATCAGTGTGCGCGTGTTTGAGTTTGAGCTGTGTTCTGACCGTCATTTCTGCATTAAAAAATTTTTTTCATCCGGAACACTTTCTCATGTGGAAACACCCTCTCACACTTTGGCCTAGATCTACATAAAGTAAAGGCGAGAGCTTGGATTTTCTGATCAGTGATCGGGGGAAGAAAAGAAAACTGAAAATAACGAAGTTTTCGATCTAGACCTACCCTTCCAGAGTTCATCCAGTTTCACACAGCCCGTATCTCGTTCCCATCCACCCCCTCCCATCCCTACCGCAGACTAAACCTCGCCCATCCTCTTGGCTTTGGGGCCCATATTAAGTGGCACACTAGATCTAGCAATACAATGTGTTAGGAATCGAGGATATGCCTTGTGCTTCGCGTGAGGTGGAGAGAAAGGAGAAAAATTCTTCGCTTTTGGGGCCGCTAATTGCTTTTATTTAGTTATCGAGACCTCATTGAAAGCGACTCCGCTCTGTTTACAACCTCGTTGGAGCTGATGTACATTTACAATGAGATATAAAGGAAAAAATCGGGGATTAAGGATTGTCTCGTTGGAGCCGACTTCTCGTCGAATGTGACCTCGTTGAATGCGACACCCACTGTATTTGTGTGACTCATTTCATTACGGCAAATTTTACATCTTTATCTTTCAGTTCAGTTTTGCCGCTGTGCTCAACCAAAGCATCTTCAGTGATTAAATTATTATAGAGTTTGTTAATTAGGCATGCATATATATATATATATATATAATATATAATATATGTTATTATATTGGTTCAATTTTGTTTATAAACAACCATTGCCTGTTGCTGTTGGGGGTTGTCAGTTACTAATAAAATTATTTTTATTTTGTTTGCTACCTGTAAGCTTTGGAGGGGGGGGGGAATATTTGATTAATTTAGGCTAATATGTGGCCCAAATATAAATATAAGCTTTTATAGAGATGTTTTATTAAGGCTGCACATGTAGCCCCTGTAAACTTAGTAAAGGGAGTGAGGTGTTTGATAATTTTAAGGTAACACATAGCCACAATAGCTTTGAGATTTTTAAGTAAGGCTACATATATATCCTTTATTTTATTATTAGGTCACTCAGATATATAATAACCCAATTTTGATTTAATTTAAAAATTTTACCAACTTCTCAAGTACATAGCAGTTTGCTGTATCATTGACACTGGGGTTTTTTTTTTTACCTCCTCAGGACATGTCCAAAATGTGGCTTTTGGTACACTCAGTCAGAGATTTCATACCGATACCGTCTGTGTTTGGCTGTGTGCGATGGTTCTGCTGTGAGCTTTGTGACAGCATTTGGAGGCATGCTCAATCTGTTTTTTGGAACACCAGCCTCAGACTTCCAGCAAAAGTAATCTGCTTACTTACACTGTATTATTATCACACAGGTTCTCATAAAATTTCATTTTGTTTGCTTGTAGCAGCTGTACTGTTTTTTGATTGGTCACTGGAAATGCATCTTTGAGAGAAGGTTTCTGATTGGTGTTTGGGTGACTGCGTGTAATGTTTAATTAGACCTAGGCCTGATGCGCAACACGCGTGAATGCAGTGAAACACTAGATAGGCCTCAATAGGGTTTAAGATTAGCCAAGTAAGCCTAATCAGTTGCGCTCGAAGAACTTATATTCTTATAACGTACTTGTTCAAAGAATCACAAGAGAAATGTTTCTCTGAATGTAGAGATCTATGATTCTGATGTCGTCCGTGAATTTACGGTCAGGGGGTGGTGCCTGGAAAGCCATGTGGCCGCGCCGTTGTCTCTATGACTAGATCTTTGAGACTATGACTATCTCCAACAGTTTCCTCTTAGTTGTTCCTGGCATTTTATAGTGAATATTCATTACATTAGTATTTACAATGAGACTGTCTTTCTACCCCCCCCTCCATTCAACGCCTTTGTATTCATAAACGCAGTCGGGGAATCCTTCACAAGACAGTCACGTGTCGTCATATTATCGGCAAAAAGTGACCCTCACCCCAAAGGGAGGTCACTAGAATATCAAGGCAATGAAATGACTGCGTCCCTTCCTCCCTTTGCAAAGGTGCATGCAAACACACGCTCCGTATAAACACACGTTGAAGAACCCTCCCGAGCACTGTGCGTTTAGGCGGAGACTACTGTAGTTGTTATGCTATCCACACATCATGGACTTCTGTTCAAATCCTCTTTTTCATTGTTTATTGGTTTTTCTTTGAGAGGCATAGCTGATTAGATTGTATGTTATGATAGACTTACAGACACAAAGTTATCAACATCAAAAGTAAAGTAAAACTTCTGGCTTGTTCTGAGCTCATGCTCTATTATTATTATGTTTTTGAAGACACTTATACAAAATTCAGATCATATAATAAGTGCAAGAAAAAACTGATAAACATTAAGTTGCCAGTGAGAAATTTTAAAGTTGGCTTTTTTGTTTTTTGCAGTCTGTCTTTAAAATGGTTGAAAAATAATCTTGGAAAAGAATAAGCCAAAAGGGCTTAGTACAAAGAGTAATTTGCTTGATAGGCTTTCAGCACGTGTTGATGACCCATGTTTGATAATTACAGATGGATCAGATTGACTTTGTTCTAAGGATGGTATAGATTTTAGATCTAAATCTTGAAATTCATGAATGTGATTTAGGACTCTACTGAGTAGCTTGCTTCTCTGGCTCCAGGAAGTAAAGTTTTCAAACCTAAAAAGGTTGTTGTAAATTTCTAAGAAGTCTTGCAGTTGGTCGAGGTTGCATACCAAGAATGTAACAAGTAATGGCATGGCTAAAACGCATGAAATGAATATATATTAATAAATATAATTTAGAACTCCTTCTTTCCACCGTTAAAAAGGAATTGTTCGTAATTAATTTATTTGGTCATATTTTTTAAAACTCTTGAGATCCTCGTCATCACTCACACTGTACTGAGGTTTTTTTCCCCCTGTCCTTCAATAATTTTCCTTGTGGATTTGTTTCTGATCTCCATTTAAGACATTCAGTCGAACTTGCTCTAACAGCCACTTGTCCAAGACAAGCACCAGCAAGCACAACTGACCACTTCCAATTATACCCCTTTTTCTACATTATAATGACACTGTCCAAGATGTCCGCCTGTCTAAGATTATTACTTTCCTCCTCAACAATGAGTGGTCGTGGACAATTTCATCTGTATTAAGATAATTCATGTATATGGTAATAAACTCGCACAAAAAAGTCAAGGAACAAAAATTCAAAGAAAGATTGCTGAAGAACAGTTTAACTGAATTTATTCATTTTTTCACAAAAGATGCTTTCGACTCTCTAGATTAAGTGTGAACAATTTCAGATTTCAACAACAACAAGAAGTTTATATAAAATGAGTTTAAGTCACACTGGTCGGATTTCAAAAGTCTGAACAGCCAAAGTTCTTCATGAACATTGTCAATAGTGGATGTAGCCACTCTGTTTAATCAAACACTCGGCACAGTGTCGAAGCATGGATAGGACATGCCTTCGGAGAACTTGTTGGGGTTGGTTCTGCACTCCTGGACGAGGTAGCCCAAGAGTTGTTGAAGGTTTTGGGCAGGAGGGTGGTTGTCCCTTATCCACCGGTCAATGTGATCCCAAATGTTCTCTGTTGGGTTCAAATCGGGACTACAAGCTGGTCAGTCCATGCAGGTGACAGCTCGCTGCAGCAGGAAGTCCCTCACGATGCGTGCACGATATGGCGTGGCGTTGTCGTCCTGCAGTACAGCCTGTCCAATCTGCTTCAGGAGAGGAACAGCAAGGGAACGCAGGATTTCCTCCCTGTACCTTGCCGAGGTCAAATTACCCTGTATATGGTACACAGGGTCCTGTGGTGAGCTGAGAAGCCTCCCTACACCAGAACGGACCCTGCAAAGTAGAGCGGCACCTGCTGGATGCACTCAGGGTGGAACAGCTCTCCTCGACGCCTCCAGAAGTGGGCTTGCCTGTCTGGGTGCAACAGGTTGAATCTGGATTCGTCCGAAAAGACTACTTGGTCCCACTGACAATGTGTCCACTGTTATTGGCGAGCAGGCCACGCTGGCGAGCTGCTTTGTTGGGCGGCGTGTGCCTTGGGCACCTGGCAGGGACACAAGAAGCTAACCTGGCTCTACGGATACGGTTCCTTACCGTCTCCTCGCTCTCATGGACATTGTCTGTCACCCGTAGTTGGTCCCTGATCCAGTTTGCAGAGGTGGTTCGTGACGTCACGGCCTGTTTGACGATGAACCGGTCGACGCTGTTGTTGGTCAAACGGGGCGGTCCTGGTCGAGGCCTGTCCAGGACCCTTCCGGTCGCTCGCCATCGTTCTTGCAGCCTCTATATGACTGATGGAGACACCCCAAATCGATGTGCAACAACTGGGAACGTGGAGCCATCTTGGAGCCAGGTAAGGGCTCGTCCTCTGTCGACGTCAGGCAGCGAGTGTTGTTGGACCATAGTGTTGTAATGAAACATGGCAGGAAAAACGCCGGCTTATAAAGGGTTGTAAGTGAGCAATATTCACAGCTAAGACATCTGTTTAGCACATGCCAAGCTTAGTTTTAGCTAACAGTCCCTATGCCAATGTTGCTGAGTCAGAGAAATTTAGCCCATTTTTCATGCTTTTCGGCTGTGTTTCAGAATGCCCTGCGCCGTCGCTATGAAGCTGGTGCTGGCAAATTTGCTCTACAGGCAAACTGTGTCTAGTCGTCAGTGCGTGTGCCAAGTTTGGTTGACTGATCATAACGGATTTGTGAGATATTAAAGTTTGAATTTGACAGGTGAAAACACAAGCTGATCCTTGACTTTTTTGGGCGAGTTTATATACTTTTGTTTTTTTTGTCAAGGAAATTTCATTTTAAAAAACACCTTTGTATTGATTAGCTTAGCACCAAAAAATCCATCGGCAGACTGATGTTTTCTCACAACTGAACCTTTCAGTCTTGATAATTTTTGTCCTTAGGTATGTCTGCCCTCTTGAGAACCAGCTGGGCAGTTTGTCGACAAACACCGTCAAGGCTGCTGTGGAAGAGACGTTCGCTGGGAGAACTCTTGTGTTTGGTTTGAAAATCTCCTCCCCTCTTAATCCGAGATGCGCAGCAGGCATGTATTTCTCGTTTTTGGGTTTTTTTGGATAGGGTGGTTTGGGGGGTTGCGTTTTGAGGAATTTTTTGTTTTTGATTGTTTATTGTGTTTTTTGTTTTTTTTCGGGGGGAGAGGGGGTCTTTTTTTTAGTAGGGAGGGGGAGGCTGGTGGCATCCTCTCTGTACCTGCTTAGAAGCAGCACCCCTCTCCTTTCAGGCAACCATTTGTTGTTTTATAGTTACTCTTACTATGTATTAAACCATGTGCTTGTGGTTAGCATTTTTAGATAGGGCTTGATTCAAGGATTTTTTTTTTCTGGGGCAAACAGACTTAACCAGCCTGCTCTTCTTTGACTTTCAGTGACTTCAGCTACAACTGCATTGATGTATTTTGCACTGGCATTGTCTGTATCTCAGAAGGCTAGAAACTCTATCACACTTAGGTTAGAATTTAGAGATAAAGAGACCTGTCAAGTAAAACCCTAGTTGTGCACCAACAATGCTTCCATGAACTGGGAATCAAACTACTTACTTTTCCCATTAGATGCAAGCGTTTTATTTTTATCTCTTCACTAATGATTCCCTTTTTTTATTTGAATTATGTTCTTTGCATTTCACTCTTTGTGTTTCATATCTATATGTTCTTTTTCACTAGATCATGTATATTTGTGACAGGTGCTGGGTCTGTAGACAAGGACAAGGGGAATCACTCAGTACTCACACTACAGGACATTATAGAAATGACGGGAGTTGGAGCAGACATGAGGAACAATTTTGTGGCTACTCAAGTCCTGCCCCAGACATCACCACAGACGAGACAAACCGTTAGTCATCACTTGGATGTTCTGATGGCTGTGCTTGCCAGAGAAGACGCCAACCACGCTGTTCTCAGCAGTGGCTCAGACGAGGCCCAGCTGTCTCTGTTGCTACATTCCTTTCTCAGAGAGGCTAGGCCAGACCTGGAGCTGACTGAGTCATCTGTTAGCCACTGTCCACTCAGTCCAGAGGTCTCGGATGTCCTGTCGTCACGTTCCTCTCCCAGTGATCTTGACCATGTCTCGGTAGCTCTCAGCTGTGACAACTCAAGACTCAGCTCTGTTTCCTTTGAGTCCATAGACAGACCAAAGTCTCAGAACCTTTCAGATTCACGTATCCACTTAAACGTTAAGTCAGTTTCGCCAAATTGGAGGAACAGTTCTGAATCTTTCAGATATACTGGGCCATCGACTCCCCTTGAGCTTGATAAAGAGACAAATGACTTTTGTGATAGATCGCAGGATGATTTTAGAAAGAAAAACTGTCTCCATGCCTGTAGCCATCGCCAACATTCCAATGATAGGTCACTCCTAGGTCATGGCAGATGGGAATCAGGCGATGTCCTTGATTTACATGACCATTTGACCTGCCATGTACATACTTTTGATGGTGGACCAAGGAGGTCAGTGAGGTTAATCAACAGAGAATTAGGGAAGGATCTGCAAAACTTGAGAGGTAAAGAAAATACCCACCAGTATATAGGGAGAGACAAGTCGTGTTCTTTACATGATCAGATAAAATCCCGAAGACATGAGTTCAGTCACGTAGTTAACGCAGGCGTGTTAAAGGCTCAGCCTAACCAAGAGAACATGAGGAGTGAAAGAGCAAAGAAAGATGACAGAAAGAAAAGTTGGAAAGCTGGACAGACTTGGTGCAAAACTAATCACTTTAGACGGCTGCGTAAAATGTCTGGTGTGTGCCATAACAAGTTTGGTGGTGACAGATCAAAAGCTAGGCTGACACATGATTCAAAAATTGTCCAGGATGTGTCTAAAGGAAGCCCCCAGCTCCGTCTAAAAAATGCAGAGACCTGCTCTTCTATGGAGGTTCTGAGAAACAGTTTGTCTTGTTCCCAGAATGCATCTGCCCTTATCTTTACGCATGCTGCATGTGGAGGGGATCTATCGGTATTGTGTAGGACTCAGGATAGAAGCCACTTTGAATCATCAAGCGACCGATATGGGTTTGAGGATTCTCCACAGCTAAAAAATAAAAACATGTATTCCTCTGACTTTTACAGGTTGTTGAAAACAAATCTTAAGTCATCTAAAGAAAGTACTGCTACCATTCATAATGAGAAATCCGCTACTGATCTTAAAGAGACAAGTACTTCTGCTGATAATGAAGACCATGATTGTAATATGGGTGGTGGGAACTCAACAACTAGTGTTCAGGGTAATTATTTTTCTTGTTTTCCGGTTGCAAAAGATAACAGCTGCTCTCAAACGACCAACCCTCCTGTTGCTGTTACTTGTGACCACCAACACAATGTTTCTGTGAGAACAGTTTGTGAGAGCAAAACCCTTTCTCTGAAGAAACAGCTGGAGTTGCAACACTCTCCAACCACATTGCAGCAACTGCCTTCTGATCCTGCTGGTGGTCGTGACAGCTGTGATGTTGGTGGCGGACTGAACTTGCTGGGGGCGGCAATTAGTCCAATGGGTGGTCATCACACCAGTTTGGAGGAAATGCCGGAGTCAGAAGATTTTGATCTTTTCATGGCAGCCTGTGCTTATGATAATGTGCAGCCTGTGCAAATGACAGGGACACTCTCTGTTAGCAAAGAAGCTCAGTCTAGTGGTAATAAAAAGTCGTCTGGTGGCTTAGGAAGAAATATTTGTGATCCTACAACATTAATACAAGTGACAAGGGAGCCCTCTGATGGCAGCACAGAACCAGCTGGGGGTCCAGAAGGAAATCATAATTGTGATGTCATAAAGTCTCCCCAGGGGGTGGATGCTCCCTCTGGGCACAACGGAGTATGGACTAGTGGTCTCATGAGAACTTTTTGTGACTCTATTTCTTCACAAGGCCTAGCGCCTTGTGCTTACAACAGCTTGACTACATCCCTGCAGGCAATGGTAACTCCCTCTGATGACAATACTGACATGGCTAGAGGCAAATGTGACAATGAGGAGGACAATGCCAGAGAAAGAAACTTCTCACAACTTTTTGACGAGACTCGCCTTACAGACGCGTATGCTCAGAGTATCTCTGCCAATGTCACTTTACGACGACACTGTACTCGAAAGGACAGGAAGAAGAAGAAGACATCTCATGTCACCAGGAAGTCAGGTGAGGCTGTTTGCCCCACGCTTGCTCAAATATCCCCCTGCGAGACACTGGAGTCCACTGACAACTTTCTGTGCTCAGCTGTGGAGCCACCAGAATCTGAAGACATGTGGAAGTTTCTGGAAGACTGTGAGCCAGCTTCATGTGTTTCTTCTCAGGTTGATCATGGAGTTGAGGGCAGAAGTTGTGTTAGTTGTCTCCCCTTTCCCTCTAAGCATAATCTCGAGATGACCAGTGAGCAACTCGGTCGCATTCAGAATACTAAATTGCGTGGCGGTATTGGTAGGCCTACTGCTCAAGGGATCGTAAACTTCGACTCTCAGAGAAAAGCTAAAGAAAGGCTGTCTGTGGTTGTGAAACAGTCCGGAGCGCAGGATGGCTGGCAGTGTGATCTCAGAGACAGGAGGGAGAAAAGCGGAGAGACAGACAACACAAATGATTGTGTTTCTAGCCACATTCTACAGCAGCAGTCTTTATCATTTGATGAGATAAATATTGATTTTGACCACCTGAGATTGCCTTCTGCAGGAATTGATCAAAATGAATGCAGGACACTATATGGTTCTGCCAAAAATGGGTCAGAAGTCTCAAGGACTAAATTTCTGAATCCAATTGAGGTCACTTGCGTCAGGGGACAAAGTCGTAAGTTGTGTCAGAATTTTTTGTCAGGCTCATTAGCTGACAGACCTGATTCATCTTTGGAATTTGTAACTCCAGATATCAGCAGTGGTTTTCGAAAATCTGGGTCTAACGGGGGTGTGGCTGAAGTTACAACTGCCCAGTATCATTATGAGAACTCTCTAGAGTCATCGCACATGTCTGTGTGTCACACTGCAGCTCCTTCAGCTATTTCCCCACTTCCTGTTGTTTGTAACATCCAATCAACCACACTACAGAAGTCCTCAAACCCTCCCCTGTGTAACGTCAGACTCTCTTTTTGTAACCAGTCTATGGATCTCTTCGCTTCTCCTGGAGGTTCTCAACAGACGGATGAACCTGGTTCGCAAAGTGTTCAGAATCGAACTCGACCCTCATATTCCTATGTCAATGAGACAAGCACCATTTTCTCCAGTGACCCAGATAGTCTCAGCTGTGATAAGCTTAAACAGAACAGTAAGCTGAGTGTTTGTAAGAGGGTGCGTTTTTCTTCTATAAGCAACCAGCTACATTTCTACCACAACAATTCAAGCTGCTCTGGCACTTCGAATGTGACAGATGTACGTGATGTGTCGCCTGCTGTCCAGCTCAAGTCATGCCTGAAGCCACAAGTAACACTTGACAATGTAGCTGGTGAGTGTTCTTCCCAGGATTTGTTTTCTGACAGAAGCTCCAACATGACCACTGAGTATAGTCAGATTGGTTGTTCCTTGGTTGGGACAGATGATGGAAATTCACCCTGTGTGACTTGTGATGTCAGTTCCCCTGATCTGTTTTCTCCGTCTGTTGTGTCGGAGTCTGTCCCTGGGTGCGTCTCTGTGTCATGTACTGATAGATCCTCCCTGTGGCACCGAACAATAACCTCCATGGCGATCCCCTCTAGTTTGGTGACCTTTGACCACAGTCCTGTGACTACAAGTGAGAGAAGTACTGCTTCACATCGATGGAGGCTTCTTACTCCCAAAGCACTGTTTACACCCAGGAGTCATTGTCCTGACTCCTTGAGGCCAACAGGACATACAGGTGTGGCTCAGGCTGTGAGGGATGTTGTTCAACAGGATGAGGACAAAAACTCAGAGGATTTGTTTACGTCCCCGATCTCCCCACAGCCCTTTGGTCAGGCAAGCATCGTTTGTGAAGATGGTAATCTCTGTTCCATCAAAGAAATATATCCTGATCCTAAAGAGGCATGCTCCTCACCTGACTTGTTTATATGATTGTTTATGATCTGGATAAGTGGAAGAGAAGTGTATCTGCACAGCATCTCTGTTGTCTTTGTCTATCTTTCTTAGTTTTCCCAGCACTAAATGACCATTATTGAATTGTTTGGAAAAAGTGCTTCTCTCTGTCTTCGTACACAAACAAACATCACCTGTTGCTGAGGTGTGGTAACAGTGCCCACTATGTGTCATAGGTTGAGGTGTGAGAATAATGCTTTCTATGCACCATAAGTCGAGGTGTGGGGACAGTGCTTGCTATGTGCCATAGGTCGAGGTATGGAACAGTGTGCCATAGGTTGAGATGTGGGAGCAGTGCCCACTACGTGATTAGGTCAAGATGTGGGAACAGTGCCCACTACGTACCAAGGTTGGTTGAGATATGTGAACAGTGCTTGTCATGTGCCATAAGTTTAGGTGTGAGGACAGTGTGTCCTGCTTGTAATAAGTTGAGGTTTCAGGGAGGTGTGAAATTATCAAGGCTGGAAGCTAGGTTTTGTGTGTTTTGACGGGAAGTTTTCATCTGTGTACAATGGAACTCGGATTCAACGAGGTCGCCGGGCCTGACCTAAAATCTCGTTGAGTCCGAGTGTTCGTTATAGCCAACACGAGGTTTTGTGTAGATTAATTACAGGCACTGAGCAAGTAGGCCCTAATGTATAAAGAGAAGTCACAAGTAGTGCCTGAAATGCCTGCATATTATGAGCTGTGTAAAAAAAAAAGACCAATTTGTTCAAATGCACACGCCTGTGTCATCTCGATTGTTCACCAAAAAGTTGTGTTGTTGAGTGGAGCCTAGCATGCGGTAACTTTTGATTCCATAGACCAGCGCACAATTCATTACGTAGATTTACGTCAAGATTAGCTTATCATTGTAATAATGATCAATTGCCGAGGTAAAAAAAGACTGACGCGTTTGTATCTGCGATGTTCAACGCCCGGCCCGCATGTGCCCCTCACCCCGGACACGCACACACAGCCACACGTGTGCAGGCCGCCCATCCGACCCCGACACACGCCAGAGTAGACACGTGCGGTGTTGGTATACATTGTATGAAAAAAGGCCGCTGGTTGGTCGTATGCAATCGGCTAAGTGAATAATGGTTCACGATGCAGGTGCAATGGATGGTTCCTGGGAATAGATAAAGTTCGTTCCGGGAGAAAAATGGGCAAAGCCACGTCTGCGGGGGCTGTTCACCCTGGAAGCGACCTTGTTGAATCCGAGCTCGCTGATCTAAGTGCTTGTTGAATCCGGGTTATTTTTATTGATTTTAAAGAAGAAAAGAAACGGGGAATCTATCTCATCTCGTTGAATCCGAGTTCTCGTTAAATCCGAGTTCCACTGTACTTGTACAGTTATCCTGGGGTTTAGTTTTTGTTTTTGAGTCAAATGTGACTAGTTTTTCCCTTTTAAAATAATTATTAATCCTTCTCTTTGTGTTCTAAAATAACTCGGACAACTGGACAATTTTCCCCGATAGCTTCTTTTGTTTTAAAAGATATGTTCCATTTTGCATTGCATTTGTATGAGTAGGCCTACAAGTCTTAATGAATGTTAACTTATGATTGTATTGATATACACTAGATTGCAATGTTCAGTTGCCTGTGGTTTTACATGCTCAATGTTGCTCAGCTTTCCTCTTTTATTGTAAATGTTTTACGCCCCCATCGACACAGTTTAGACCAGGGGTCACCAAACTTGGGCCTGCGGGAAAGCAGGTTTCAGGTTACCAGAAACCATGACATTTTCTGAACTATTCTGCCGTTTGAGCTAAAGATTTTCTCCAACAGATGAATTTCTTGTCACTGTGTCCAAAGATTAGTGAATCTGTGCCGTCACACTACATATGTATGTTCCCAGAATAGCTCATAAACTCTCACTGCATTAAAAAAAGGAAGATTGATTCTATGTGTGCTGTTCCTCCAAACTGCATAAATATCTAGAGTCTAGCACGCACATAGCGAAATCGAAAGGATGCAAAAATATTTTTTTTGTTGTGCACGAAGTTTGATAAGTATGTGTCTTTTGAATACAAAGAATATGCACGTACAAGAAAAAAAATTTTGAACCTTGAAATGTTTGCTATACGTTAGCTTTGTGATGTATGTTACGGGCAGTACATGTATTTGCAGTTGTAGGGTATGATGAAATATATACATATATCAGATGTGTAACTAGAGATTCCATCACTTTACTATTTAAAAAAAAAAATCATACAAATGATTTCAGCACTCTAACTTACTCTAAGAATAATACACAGTTCCGACAGGCTGCTTCAACCCAGTCGAGATACCGGGTACTCTATAAAAATAACTTTCCCACTCAGGTCATTGAACTGACATTTCTTGTGTGCAAGTGCAAGGACGAAGAGCCTTTCCATGAAATACCACTCATGCTCTTCCATCCACTGTATTGTATAAGTGATCTCTATATGTGCAGTTCCAGCAGGGTTTTGTAGACCCTAACCACTATTTTACAGTGTTATTGTTGTTGCTTCAACAATTTGTACAAGTTGATGTGAATGCTGCTGCTAGCCTGACCATTTGTAGTGTTGTAATAAAGTCTGCTTCTTGCTATACAGTGCAGTTAGCTTATGCAGTAAAAGTAGAGCATGACTATAGCGGGACTTTTGGTTCCAGAGGAAAAATGCAAAGGGGATTAAATTACAGAAAAATTTCTTTAAATCCACATAACCTCCCTTCCATATCCATAGAATTTGTGCTTTAGAGAAGTCTTCCTTTTCTTGTCAACTTCGTTGATTATCTCGGTCTTCAATTCGAGTGAAAAGCCTGTATTTCCTTTTTTCTTTGTTGGAAGCCATCTTTTCTTCGGTCTTGTTGCTTTTGCTGTCTATCGTTCCTTTAGGCCTACTGTAGAACTGGTGAAGTGGATGCGTGCGTAGCCCACGCCTGAGAATCAATGATCGCAATTCAATGCTCTCCTCTTCTTTTACTTTTTGGCCCAGCCTACGCCTGGGGCTAGGCCTATCGTCGCCTAAAACATGTCTCTCCGCACCATCCCTCTCTGTCGCTTGCCCCACCTCACTCATCACGGACTGGCCAATCACAAAGCAGCATCACCAACTTCCTGTTTGGAGCCCACTTACAGTAGACCCCCACCCCCCAATCACCTTCCCCCTTAGCTAGAGCTCGCTTGATCTCTCCCGCTGTTTCCAAGTTCAGGACTTTCCTTGCCCCATTATACCCGAGCACAGGTAATTGAGTTTACATCTAAGGCTAAAAAAAGGGGGATTCCGGGCAAGTCTGGCTGTAGGGAGGGTCCCGCTGCAGCGGGTGCCGCTATAGTCATATTCTACTGTATGCACATGTATGGTCTTTGGTGATTGTGTTTACCGAGTTTATTCAAATTATTTTATTAAACTAAGGAAAAAAATATACTGAATACGGAAATGAAACTTGTGTTAGAATCAGTGTATTTACAAGTAAGCTTTTTATTATTAACGTGAATTTATTTTAAGTGGACTCTGTCAGGGTCTGAGATTGAAACAGTTTCATGTCACCTGGAATTGGTGCTGTACCCACTGGGCAGACAGTGGTCACAGACACCCGGGGCCAGCCGTTAACTTGGTTGGTATCATGCTGTACTATGGAGCGAATGGCCCTGGTTGAAATATTTTGGGGAGTTTTTAAGACTTTCCGCCCATTAGGCTCATCCTATTAGAGATGGATGCCAAATTCCAAGGTCCTGCTTCTTAAATAGCCTTACTACTTACAGTGACAGGATTGATAGAGGCGTTAAACCAATTTAATTTAGCATAAAATTCTGACAGCTAGAAGAATACACAAGCTGGAATGTTTTCCCATAACAGACCTGAACTTTTCCTGTGTGCATCTCAGAAGACTTTGATCTGGGGAAGAAAAGAAAATTGAAAAAAAATGAAGGTCTCGATCTAGACCTACTCATCCAGTCAGAGTTCATCCAGTTTCACACAGCCCGCTTCACATTCCCACCCACCCCCTCCCTTCCCTACCATAGGCCAGCCAATCCTCACCCATCCTCTTGGCTTTGGGGCCCATATTACGAGGCACACTAGATCTAACAATACAATGTGTTAGGGATGGAGGATGGGCCCTGTGCTTCGCATGAAATGGAGAGAAAGAAAAATTCTTCGCTTTAGGGGCCATTATCATTAATTGTTTGTTTTTTAGTTATCACAACCTCGTTGAAAGCGACTTCGGTCTGTTTGCAACCTCGTTGGAGCAGACATTCATTTACAAAGATATATAGAGGAGAAAATCAGGGATTAAGTTTAAGGATTTTTTTTTATAGTAGAGGGTTTTACGGTGCTCGCAACTGCATAAGGTCATATGAGCGCCAAGGGGTGGGTGTCAATTAACAGAGAAGTCTTTACAGTACAGGGAATCAGACTTATTCTGCTCACCTCTCTAGCTTCAACAGCACAAAGTCTGCTTTGACTACAATGTATCAAGGCTCCCCGGAATTAGCAGTTCACAAGAGAGTGACAAACATACAAAAGAAGAGAAGGAAAATGATAATAGTAAGGATTAAGAAAGAAAAAGCAGCAGTTCCCTGTTGTAGATCAGGCAGTTATGAGCGTGACATGAATCAGCCCATTTAAAATTCTACTGTGCTTGAACGGGAAATGTCCCCCCTTTGGGAAAGGCCTAAAGACACTACAGCCAGTGGCACTGCCCCGGAGTAGGATTAAGGATTGCCTCGTTGCGACACCAACTGTAGTGCTAAAGATTAGAGGTGCATAAAGTGTATTACAACAGAGCAACAAAAAGAAAAGGAGGAGAGATAAAAATATTGATGTTTGTTGACAGAGAGAAGGAGTAAACAACACCAGATTTGAGTGATGTGCATTGTTCCGGGTGGAAGTGCACTACCAGAGGCTTCAAAGTTGAAATTTTACAAAGCAACATTGTCATTATGCTTTGATATTCACGGATAGTAATATTGAAACTATGACTCAGTAACAGTTATCATACTTATATACTCGTGTAAGGGAAGAGAACGAATGACAGTGAATGGGCCAGCTTGTAAAAAAGGCAATCAGACGCTTTGTTTCCTTGAGAAGAGCAAGTGATTGCGTCTTCAATTTAAAGAGACAACTGCAATGTGACTGAGCAGCATGGAGTGTGTACATTTCATTCTCCTCTTGTCCATGCCAACCCCTCTCCTGTTTCCCAAACCAGTGCAGGTATGGTATAGAAGATCAGAAAAGGTGATTGCCTTGAGCTCAAAGAGGGTTCTATCTAAGGCAGATTTCTATTTTTAGATGGGTTCTTAGGCAATTTAAATTATAGAGAAAAGAAATCTTTTGATTAGTAAAAGAAAGTTCATATAGACTTCGACAGATCAAATTCAAATGTGGAAGCTACTCACAAACTGTTTTTAACTTTATATTATATTCTGGGCATAGACGGCAACAATATATTATTACTAATAATATTACTGAGCATAAAAAAAACCCGACACACCAGTCATGATAACATTTTATTTACAGAATTCATTTCCATAACAACATGGTTGCATACACAAGATGATCAAGAACTGTCCTTAGAGGACACTCAGGGTCTAAATGCAGAGCTCTGTCAGACACAACCGGCAGCAATAGTAATAGCAACAGGGTGTATAGGGGCCTATGGGGAAACAATGGACAGGAGTACATTTGTCACATTAGTCCCTCACTACTTGGACAAGACAATCTAAACCCCCTCTGACTGTAAGGCTTCTATGATCTGTACCATCCAACTACCTCAGTGATTGTATCTGTAAACCAAGCTCTACAGAAGTCTCTTAATAAAGTATCTTATCTTATCTTAAAGTTGTCTGTCCTTATTTTGTTCTAGCATCTACAAAATGTATGAGCATCTGTTTAGGCTCCTCGTCTGATGCCACCGACTGTATAAATCTATTACTGTCAACGTCCTAATTGTGACAAGTCTCTGCCAGAAAGTATGGTTGATTGTTGATAGCCCACACATACAAAAATATATCCTCTGGATCTCTTTCAAGAACAGTGTGTTTACGTCAGTGGCCTAGTGGACAGGCTACCGGACTCGTAATCGTGAGGTTGCGGGGTCGGATGTTCGAGCCGCAGGCCCAAAGTGTCCTTGGTAAAGGCACTTTACACGAATTTTCTTTACTTCACCCAAGTGGGAATGGGTACCTGGCCATAGACAGCGAAAGATCTTGTCAGTATGTTAGTGTCTTAGCGCCTACTATAAATGGCTTCTTGACTTCTTGCACTGCATGCTTCTCAAGAAGTTGAAATTGTTTCAGAATGCTCTCAGGTCTGCTGGGGTAAAAGTAATAGTATAGACTGAAGAGCATAGAGCTTGCTGTTGAGCGGGGATTAGCGCTATACAAATGCTATCTATTATTATTATTATTATTCGGGAGGTTGGAAAGCCCCATTGGTAGGTCTTACCACGGGTTCTGTATTCACATCATTTTCACAATACATTTTATTTATTTTTGAGGTATATTTGGCTAAAATTCTCACATGATGCTAAAGGGGTACTGAGTGCAATACATGCCCTTGAAGACTGTGCATAGGCAGAGACTACTGGGGCAGAACATTTTTTTCCTCTTCTCATTATGTCAGTAGTTACCTCAGTCAGTACATCACATTCACAAGCATTTTATTTTAACTAAAGGCAAACTTGGATTTTTACATGCCAGAGTTGTACTAAAACAACGTTGACTTGGGACTTCTGGACACACTCTGACAAACACTCCACCCATACACAAGCACCTCTAGTTTGATCTCTCAGCAAAGTAAGCAGACTGTAGTGACCAATGGTCAACAAAGAAACTTTAGACCTGGTTATACAGTAGTCTCCACATAAACGCACGCCATACAAAAGAACGCTGAGTCATTTGATGTATTTTTTAACAATAATTTAGAAGTACAAACGCACAGTCACTTACTCTAAACGCACGCTCTGATCCACAAAACACGCCAACAGGTAAAGCCTGACAAGGGGAAATGTTCGCTACAACCTGCACAGCTTGTATAAGAAAACTGGATATTTGGTGAGACTGCCCCTCATGCCGAACAAAGAGAGTGACGACAAGTGTTTTCACACCCAACTTTCAAGATACACATAGGTCTAGAAATGTTGGGGGGATGGGGGACTGAAAGTAAGTGAAATGTTTTTTTATTCATTGGCCACTGAAAATTCATCTTTGAGAGAAGTTTTCTGACTGGTGTTTAGTTGACTGCATGGTATGTTTAGTTAAACCTAGGCTTATGATGCGCAACACGCGTGAATATGAAAAACTAACAAAAACGCTAGATGGGCCTCTATAGGATAAAAGAATAGTCAAGTAAGCCTAATCAGCTGCGCTTGAACTTATAATGTACTTGTTCAACGAATCATAAGAGAAATGTTTCTCAGAATATAGGGATCATCTATGATTCTGATGTCGTCCATGAATTTACAGTCGGGGGTGGCTGCTTCGAAAGCCACATGGCTGGGCCGTCGTCTCTATGTTTTCTCTTAGGCTATCTGTTCCTGACATTTTAAGGTGCATATCATTACATTGAGTCTGTCTTTTTGCCCCCCACCCACCAATTCGACGCCTTTGTATTCTTAACCGTACATAGTTGGGGAATCCTTCACAAAACAGTCACATTGTAAGCCAAAGTGACCCCCACCCCCAAGGGAGGTCACTAGAATATCAAGGTGTTGAGATGACTGCGTCCCTTCCTCCCTTTGCACAAGTTCATGTAAACGTAAGCTCCGTATAAAGCATGCTAAAGAGCTCTCCCAAGCACCGTGCCTTTAGGTGGAGACTACTGTACCAGGTATCATTACACACAAAATGCTAACCCAACATCAATAGAAAAACAGACAGAGCCCGGTGTCCAGTTCTGCACACATCAGAAAAGGTCTTTCTTTGCACACATCAAGTACATGTCATCAGACAACTGTTAAAATGTAGGCCCAATAAGCCCAAAATTCTTTTAAAAATTGTACTGCAGTTCCTTGATCTGTGGTATCAGTTATGTGCTCAAGAAACACCTTGTTGAAATTCAAATTCTACATATATATGCTGAAAAGAGCAAGAAAAAAATACAAAATGTAGGTACAATTGAATGTTAAAAGAATGAAACAGTTTCTTCTCTCTTCTGTTAAATTTTGCTTTCTGAACTTACTACACATTTCAAGAACTTGCCAATGATATGTGCAAATGATATATTTTCAAACTTGTATGACAAAATCCAAGAGCTCCAGATCGTAGGAAAGACAAGAACAGCAATCTGGTCATGAAAACAATGTTCCAGATTCCAGGGCCAACATGACTAACATGACAGTTGAGAGATTTCAACACCAGACTGACCTATCACTGGAAAAAATAAATCAAACGCTACATTTTTTCCCATCAACCAGATTGGCCACAATTTGAACTGAAAGCAGACCTTGCAAAAAAAACAGACTGAATACAGTTCCTATGGAAAAAAAAGAAGAGGGAACCAAAGTGAGAAGAAAGGAAGTTTGTGTGTTGTACACTATACATACAGGAAGTGACAGCAGCTGATGGAGGGGGAAGAAACTCACACGACGGTCTGATCGACAAACAACCTCACGAACTTGATCATATAACATTAGTAATAACATGCAAGCTGCTTCCCCTCTGACTGTTCGAGCTAGCACCAAACCAATATGGCTGCCCTCACATTCACAAAATCACAACCTCACCTTCCCACGATAGAAATATCATTCAAACAGGATATATACTTTACACCTATACACATCATTTACATACATATATAATAAGTCATTATTGTCATCCTACTCAGTAATTATAAAAAGACCATTAATAAGACTACAGCAGTGATGCTATAATGACAAAAAGTCGAAAAGGAGGAAA